ACAGACACAGTGAAGAAAACAATGTATAAGGTTTCCAGGGTGAATAAGCAACAGAGTGCAAACTGTAGAGATAATAATGTTTTATTTTATCCTGTATCTCAGCTCATGTTGAGATATTGACTTAGCAGTCTAGCTTTCTTAGGACTGGATTAAGCTGCTGCCTCTAACTATAGTTATGAATCCAAGATCTGGATTCATAAAAACTGCAAACTGTTTTCATGGAGATTATATATATATATATATATATATATATATATATATATATATATATATATATATATAATTTTTTTTTTAATGGCATTGTTTTAAAACAGATTTCAGTCTTAACAACATTTAAATTCAATGTTAGAAGATAATGACTGTGTTTCTTCTTAAGGCAATAGACCTCACTGTTTCATATTGTCAAAACATTTCGTTAAGCAGCATATTTTTCTTATGTATGTAATAGAAAAGGAAATGAATGTATTTATTATATGCGAATGTGCGATAGTGCTAAATTGTTTATCGAGCAAGCTTAGAAATGAAATCAAATTGGCAAATAACTGGCCGAGAGTGAATCTTCGTTAAACTGGTCCAGCTCATAATTAGTCATTAACACTGGAAAAAGAAAAAGGTTGAACTTGGGTGTAACCCCAGGTCCTCCCAGCTGAGATCACAGGCTGATGTTCGGCAGGAGGCAGCCTGTTTCGCCTTGAGCTGAGACTTAGCACTAAAATTCAGGGGCGCACGCAGCTGTCAGACGCCTTGATTGGTGGAAAAATGTACCAGTCATATAACCAAAAGTGAGCCCTTGCGGAGGTCTTTGAATGCAGTTTGCTGCCACACAGAAGTGTTTAGTTTCTCTGAGCCATCATGGGAAATTGCTGAGTAAAAATAAGTGGGTGTGTGTTCATGCGCACATATATACACATGGTGAAGTAGAGGGGGAGACTCAATTAAAAACCAGCTGTGCCCTATTCCTCTGTAAGCCCTCCAGCATTCCTCACCCTCCTCCTCTCATGTCTTACCCACCATCCCCTCCTTCTCCAGTACCCCCTGCCACAAACCCCCCGCTGCACTGTAAGCTGCCTGTAAGCTTCTTGACTCATGCTGATGGATCTAATGCTTCCCCCGAAAACACGCCGGCACGCATTTGAATGTGCAGACATGTGTGCACACATGGACATAATGAAACATGCAAACATAAAACAGCATAGCCTGCCCCTCAAATACACAGTATATGCTCATTTGCACCCCCCCGCTACTCGACGTAATTACAGCAGACTTGTGTGCCAATCCGAACGGGCTCCTTTCCATTCTCTCCAAGTCCCCGATGTACCTGTTACTGCCTCACATCAGCCAGCTCCCAGTGGCACTTGCGGTATTGAGGGTGAGATGAGAGAAAAAGAGAAATGGTTGGGAGCAGAAATACAAAGTCACAGCCTTTTGTTACTAAAGAGACAAACAAATAGACAGGCGCTGGAGAAACAGACTGAAAGGAATGCCCAAAAGCCTGTTAATATGGACTTTAATAACCAGCTTTACTTTGTGCAGCAAAGGTTATTCTGAGCGCAAATTGGATAAAGAAACTGTGTGTCTAACACCCATTACTGCTGCTTTTTTCTCATATTTGTTAACTCAGAGCCCATCAGGTTTTCTTCATCCTTTTCATGCTGTTTTGAATAGTTATAACTTATGAGCTATATTACTGCTGTATCGAGAAAGGCACAGTTAATATAGCTTAATAAGGGTCTATCCAGAGGGCAGCAATAGTGCTTAGCCAGCTAATCAGTGGTAATTCTATAAGTTCAGGTCCTTTAATTAGCTCATTTGCATTTTGAAAATTAATCAAATTGATTATATAATTAACAGTGCAATGCATCTTCTTCATTGTGTTTGTAAGGCACACGTTTTCACCCGGCGCATGCACAGATGCAGTTCGTATTGAGAGTTAACCCTTGTGGATGTAGATGTGACTGATGGTGATATATCTATGGGACAGAACTCATTGCACAAGGTTAAATAGAACCCCTGACACTATGCAGTCTGTAATAGCAGAGATAGCATTAGGAACACAATTCACAGTCAGAGCGCTGTAAGGCTCATGGACCCTGGGCATTGGCTATAAGCATTAAGTTTTGATAGGTTGTAATAGCCTGTGCTAATATTGGCTCATGATAGGGAAAGGTCAACTAACTCATTTACACGTATAGCATGTGACAACTGGCCTCAGGATTATTTTTTTCCTCATTTGAGCAAGTCTCAAGCAACACATTCATCCACGGGTCAGATTGTGTGCCTCACTGTTTCTAATTACGGGGTAAGGCAGAAGGATGGGACAGAAGGCTAGGTACCGAAAAGGCTAGGAAATGCAGTGCAACCCCCTTTTAAGATTAAGGATGGCAGTTTGCAGCAAGTGTGCAAGGCATTAACTAGTCTTAGATTAAAGAAGGAGTTTCTGGGTGGCTGAGGCCTTTCTCAGTGTCTGCATGCACTACACACTGTTGCTTTGTGCGCGTTCTAGGATTGATCACCAACCTTCCTGAGAAGGACCCACACATCTCGTCCCATTTAATCTCAGATAGTCTACATTAGAATAACATTAGAATAAAAAATTTTAAACATTTTTTTAATTAATAAATGGATGGACAGTCTGGCCTCTTGTCTGCTGCTAATGTGAGACTCTTAATAATTTTCATAATCATGGCCAATTAAACACAGATGTTAGGTACAATTAGCATTTATTTTTAGGTCGTTCGTGACAATTTGCTAAAATTAGCATTTCTGCGGGCTTAATTCATGCTTCGTCAACAGGTGTTTGATTAATTGCCCGTTGTTTTGTTGCCAAGTGTAGCCTGTGTTTGTTTGTGTCTGTGTCAATCTATGCGAGGCTCACGCTTGTGTTTTAGAGTGCAGGAGTGAGGTCCTTTTGGCAGAAGTTGTGACATTATCAGCAAAGCATTAAGATTGAATGTGGGTCACAGTTAGGAGTGAGATGAAGGCTTGGGGTTAGTCACTTTGAGGTTAAGGTTGAGTATATATGCAAAGGAGCTGCACAAACTTGTCTGTGTTTACGTCTCTGTATGCATACATACACGTGTGAGAGCGGCCAAATGAGGGAGGATGTTTACGTGGCGAGAGTTAGGCAAGACAACCACTGAGAATCGGGTTTTCACACTAACTTATTTTGTGCAACTTTAAATACTAACTAAAAAAACAACAATACTTAAAAACTAGCTTACTCAGAAACTAGAAACAATATCTCTTCATTGTTTGGATTTGTAGGGGAAGACCAATTTACTTAATACTGACAGAAAATTGGAAGCGAGTAAAGACAAGAGGATGGAGGATTTCCACAACTGATCCTGCTTTGTGGCAGGGCCGTAAGCAGAAGCTCGAATTAAAAAGAAAAACCATGAGCAAAATGCTCGTGAGCAAGTGTGTGGTTTTAGCTTCTGGTTGATCTAATCTGGGGTTTATTCACTGGCCAGTCTCTGCATCTCGCTGGCTAAGTGTTGGCCTATTATAGGACATATTAGGGCTAATCTCTAGGTGTGTCCATATGCAAGGACTTAAGTGCAGATGGAAAGAAAGGACTGATTTAACACTGCTGACATCACTGCTTTTAAGTCCACACTAACACCCTGCAAAATCAGAAGGAAAGGTGGGGGTGTGCCTCTGTGTTTTTTGGGTTTTTTTTTTACCATTATGATAATATGTGGTCTTCTGGTTTGTGTCTTTTACTTTAAAGAAACAAAGATGTGGGTGCAACCATACGAAGCAATCATACACTGTTGTCAACAAACTAGTGCTGCCTTGCTATATCTTAATGTAGCTAAGCTCATTAGCCTCAAGAAAACAAAACTCCACATTGGACAGTATGAGACAAATAAAAATCCCTGGACAAAGCTGCACCTGCATGATTAAGAATGGGTACCATGAGCCCAAGTCAAAGCTTTCTATTTTTTTTTTTTTAGGTTATCACTTGGGGACTTTAAAATGGTTCAGTACGCCGTCCTACCCTCATCTGCATTTTTCATCTTGTACTGCACCTGTGTTACCCACTAGAGATCCAGTGATTCCTTCCTCGTTCCTTTTACCCTTCGCTCTGAATTCAACCAAGCCATCTGTGAATTCAAACCCATTTGCAGTTTTGTTAAATTTTACTTACGCTATAAGTGGACACCTTTGTCCCAATCAATATACCAGTTGTGTGCAGGTTGATGGATTGCCAAAGCCAAAAAACAAGAAGAAAATGAAAGAGTAAAATAAATAAATAAATAAAGCAGAAAGTGGGAGGTTTATGTCCCCTGCCAATCCCCAGTTATGCATAAAAATGCCTCTGAAATGAAATCTTTATCAAAAGAGCCACAAGGTTCTCCTTACAAGGTGTTTTCAAATAAGCAGGCGTTATTATCATACCTCCATTGGGAAATATGCATTTACAGCTCGGAGAGTGAGAGGCAATAGGGTAACTGTTAACAATGTTTTCCCTAGTTATGGTGCATAATTGCATGCTTCTATTATTGCACCTTTCTATTGCTGCTAATACGGAGAAAGCCCATTAGGCAGTGTGCTAATGTGAACAGTAGCCTGCAGTGCAGTGGGTGCACTGTTTAAAAAGAGATGCTTGAGGACCACTGTAATGAGCACCAGGCCCTGGAAAGAAGGCACTAACACCAAAAGCGGGCATGTGTAAGTTTCCTGAAAAATGCACTGAGATTCAATTTTTGCTTGTTAGGCTGTAAATACATGTGGCAATGTAGCTGCTGCCGCTGCCTCTCGTGAAATTGTCCCATTATGTCCTCAAGTAATCATATATTAATACTGAGTGGAATATGCATTTTTCGAATAAATCGTACACCATGTTAAATATGTTTTAAAGTGACAATAATATGTAAATAGATTTAGATTAATAGAGGAAGTGCCCTCAATAGTGATCTGCTATTCAACATAGCATAGTTCAACATTTGGGATTCAGATGGTTTAATCGCTGTCACTGCTGATCCCCTGCATCTCATCTCGTAGTGCTGCAGCTGTGGCTGTAACAGCCTACTGTGGATTACTCTTCGGCATGCGCTGATAATGACCACTGACTTTGGCTGGGCCGTGAACGCGCGCTCCGCGAGCCACGGTCATTTCTCTATACCGTGTGTGTGAATGGTCGCTCCCTGGGTGCCGCTGCGCGCAGCCTTTACCGATCGGCCGTGGTTCAGTGTTCAGAGCATGCCCGCTCGCCCCGCCGTTTCTCGGGTCCGAAGAGAAGCAACGGAAGACGTGCCGTTTGCGCACAGCCGTATTCATCCGGTTTTGGTCCATTTTGGGGGTTTGCTTTTTTTCTTTCCCCCCCCTTTTTTTTTGCCAGTCAGCACTGTTTGCCTGTAACGACCACCAGCGCAGAACGGATGGTTCCGTTTGATTCCACGATTTTGGTGAGATGCTGAACTGGAGGCTTCTTGCCTGCCCTCTCTATCAGCTCATCCCCTCGTGCTGTCATCTCACTTCGCGTTCAATAGTGGCTTGACAGGATAGTCAGGGCAAAAACAAACAAACAAAACAAGAAAAAAGAGCGAGAGAGAAGCATGCAATAAACAAGTGTCAAGTAGCTTCGGGCTGGTTCGGTTGGAGGGAAGGAAAAAGTTCAAGTTGAAGAAGGAGGATTATGCAGTGAGTGCCGCACGTAACTATAAACAGGTACGTGATATTTTGCAATGTATTCCTGTGGAAACGATGCTGCTGATTAACCCGCCAGCTTCTGTGACCGAGCAGCACGTGTGTGTGTGTGTGTAACATGCACAGTCATATCTTGTGGCAAGTAGGAAGGGGAGGAGGGCAGCGCAGAGCGATGACATTGAGGTGCCTTTTATCCGAATATCATTCTGTAGTCCTCATGCGAGCCCTTGACGCTTGGCTGACATTGGTGATCGGGGTCATCTCCTGCGACTGCAGTGTCGTTCACGTGCCATGCGTAGAGAGGTCCAAAAAATATAGTCCCGTCAATAATGACCTTATTAATTGCGGTGGACTTTTTGTGGCGTGAGAGGTTTCCACATGGCGATTCTGCGCTGCATATTTTTTTTTAAAGAAATGTATTAACCCTAAAAGAGTCAGGGTGGACTGCGAGACCCTGCCGTGACTCGTGATGAAGAGCTCCTGTCCGACGCGTTTATGGCTGCCGCAGCGCAGCATCCTCTTTTCAGCGATCCCCGTAACGTGCATGAGAAAGTAACCTAAGTGAGTGCCCTTCGAAAAGAAACCAAAATCACGTTTTCAGTTCATAATAACAAACATGGAGCTGCTGGAGGGCTTTAATTGGCTGCTTGACTTGTCATTGCCTCTTGCCTCCCCTCCTCGGGACGGCAGCAACGATGCATTCCTCTCTTCTGTCTTGTGCACTGCACTTTATTCAGCTTTTTTCATTCATATTTATTCTGCTTGCTTGGTATTATATCAGAGGTGAGGGCAGTGGAAGTGTGAGCTTTCTTCTTCTGCTGTTTTTGGTGATGTGCTCATGCACAGGATAGCTGCCCCCCTTCAAGCTGCAGCAGAACATAACAGTGTAGGACACACAGGAATGAGCATGAGTGAGACTTTTAGTTAAGGATTTCAGGCACAAAGTTTAAGGATGAATAAGGAAAACTTTTAAAGTCAGTTGTGTATCAAGCAGGGTGGCGAGGGATATGAGGCCCACACACCAGCTGTATATCCCAGAGCCTGGCAGTCATCGGCACCTTATGACATGAAACACAAACGCAGACACACACACACACACATGCCGAGAAGATCTTGGTGATGAGACGCACTGTTGAGATTCACACTTCAATCTAACTGGTACAGTTTCTCTCTGCGGCCCTGCTATCTCCTCCTCCACCTTTTTAGCTCTCTTCAAGCCCGCCTGCGTCTGTGTGATTTCTGACGCTCTTTGATCTCTCTCCCGCTTTCCATTCCTCCATCTTGAGCTTTTGACAGGGGCGTAGAAATCAAAAAGGAAGCAAAGCCCTCAGATTTGCGTGGGATCACTTCTGACACACTTTTAAACGCATGCATATGGAAACAAGTGCATATGTTGCTCTCTCTCGCCATTTGTCTGGTTCGCTCGCAAGGACGAGTGCACAGGCTCAGCTGTTTGCCACAGTGTTTGACCTGCCAGGTGTAATCACGGCCAGTTTGCCGTGTTTGTGTGTGCATATAGTGAGACTCAGTCTTAAGTGCTAATAGGCGCTCACGCCGGAGAGCAGCAGGCTGTGTCAACCGCAATCTCCAGACTAGCCTTGACGGTGTCCTATTTGGCATGATGACACACACACATGCACAAATGGGCCTGAGATGCATAGAGTTGACTTAAGGGTCTGAGCACTACAGGTTCCCTGAGTCCATGTCCTTGCCGTCCCTTCACAACTAATCATCAAGATTAAGTCAGTGCTGTTGCCATGCAGATATTCTGCAGGTTGACTTCTACATAAATCTGGCTTTTTTTTTTGTTAAATCACACATAGATGTTGTTGGGGACGATCTTTCTGTTAATCTCTCTTCTTTTTCCCAGTGCTCTATATGGGTTATATATTTATACATACATTTCACTGAAACACCTGTGAGTCCTGGAAAGAGGAGCATCAATCTTCATTAGCCTGCAATGAGGCTGGCCTTGTTGAATAAATGACTAGCATAGAGAAAGTGTGTGTGTGTCTATTTGTGTGTGTGTGTGTTTGGCTGTGTGTACGTGTGCACTCGTGTGCGAATCTGTTGAGTCCTGTGGCCCACTCCGACCTGGCTGACAGATGACTGCAAGTGATTTCCAGGGTTCAGCAGATTAGGGGATTAAAAGACTGAAGGCTTCACACAATAACCCTAATGCATGTGCATGTCAGCAGGCACACGCGCATTTTGGGGGCTGCGGGGCTGTTCAGAGGTCAGCGATATCCAGTCTGACCTCTGTGCTGTGTGTTATCCCACACTGTGCAGGACTGTCCACAGTCACAGATGGAAAGCGGCATAAGAAAATCTCAAAGGTTCGATTTCACTTTACAGGTGTGAACCCGTAGAGGTATTGAAAGCCTGGTTGATACATTTTGTCCTCCCCAACCAGTTCAGAGCTTACTTAGTGTTGGAAAATGAACCAGCATAGTAGCTGAATAGTTGTGACTAGGCCAGTGCAATTTTGTTGCCGATTTAGAGCCAAAAATCCCTTTTAAACACAAACCAGTTACCATTGTTTCCTTTTGTTTTAATTCCTATCAACTAGAACTACATTGCACCATGTTAATTGATGTCACAGGAAAAAAGCTGCTTATATGTCTCTCAGGTATAATTACCTGAGAGCAGTAAAGTGCCTCTTATTTGAAGGCTTTCGCATGATTTCATGTGTTGACTGGCTTGGTTTTGGAAACAGCCATTTGCTGCTTGGTGTTAACATTTTTTCCCTTTACCTGGCCATTTCGACAGGGTGTGAACTGCTAAGCACTGTTGTTTCTGACAGCGCAACCATAGCAACATCGGCAAGTTTTTAAATAACTTAAATCCACAGGGTTCAATTTGGGATTCCAAGTTTAGATCTTCATTTATTTTTAAGATGCTTGGAAGAATGAATTGAGCAATCACACCCAGATAATCTACACACAGTTGTATCTTGAAGCATCCACTTCTTTTCTTTTCCTGTTATAACAATCAGGTCGTATAAGGTTCGGAACAATTTGTGATGTTAAAAAATATATATATTAGCAATTATTGCTGCTCTACAGTACATTATACTATAGCACTTTATAATTTGGGAAAGAACAGGATAAGTAGTAACAGAGGACAAATAGCCTCTTGTCATTGCTGATTAACTAAGAACACTGACCTTTAGAGAGAGTAGAGGTAGGTGAAAAGGATGTTCCTTCTGTCAGAATATGCAGAGAGGGTGATTATGTTTACACTGTTGCTGTAATTGTCAGGACGTGCTAGTAAATAGAAAATACTAAGCTTGGTGGCACAGCTCTATTAGAGGCAGGTCTGCCCGGCCTTCCACCCTCCCAGTTATTTCACAAGCTCAGGGCTTTTTTTGCTTTTTTTTTTTTTAGAGCCAAATATACAATCATCTCAGTGTCATAAATCCACATCCAGATAGAGAAACTGCTGCAGGAATGGGCTCATTCCTATGATACTGCCCTGTTTGGCCTCCTACACAGTAGAGTTTGGGCAGCATGACATACAACCGTGTCAGAAAGGCTTTTATAAGGACAGACTCAGTTAACCAGTTATGCTTCCATACTATCCCCCCTTCCTTTTTCCTGCCTCGTCTGGCGAGGCCTCACTTTGATCCATTCATGCTCGATTGTCCTCTTTGTGTTATATTTCAACATTTCAACTTTCAACATTAATTGTCCTCCTTTCAAGAGCTTGCCAAGGCATAGGTAGGAATAGCATGCAGTGGGCTTTTGAGAGGCTAAAATTACAAAGGCTTGCTGATGAAGGAGAAAATTATATTAATTGCAGTAATTGATTAATTGGTGGGTAGATGAGTAAGAAACCACAGAGTGTGAAAAAAAATAGAAGATGACATATCCAGTGGCTTTCTGTTGAGATATTTTAAGGCTGGAGTTCATAAAAGGAAAGCTAAAATCATTATTAGTATTAGTATTATTATTATTAACCTCCTGATGTGATTACAAGACTGAATTCAATTACGTTTGGTACCACTTTACGTGTGACGAATCTGCCAGTGCAGTTAAATTTTTTATGTTGAAGCACTTTTTACAAGAGCGCCTCAATTAACAGTCCTCCTTAATGTCTGTGCTTCCAGTAGTCCCATCAAATTGAACCAAAACACTGACTCAACATATCATCTTAGCATCTCTCTAAAAGGCCATGACGCACATGGCTGTTGCTCCCTATTATCTAGCATTTTTCAGTGGAAAAAGAGAGATCACATTAACGTAGAGCATTGGATAGCTCTTTACAACAAGGATTCTTAAAATAGCCACGAAAAAAACATATAATAGGAGAAGATGATGCAGCAGCCAATACTTAGACCCCAACGTAACATGAATAAAATTTTAAAATGCATAATAGTCTGAGATTTGTGTTGTGTTGATCTTCTGTGATTTTTCCTAAACGTACAAGAAATTTGAAAACCATAAACTCATCGTTCATCTGGGATTTGGACACTCCTCAGAAGCCTTTGTGGCCTGTGATTTTATTTGACGGGTTTTGTATGTGTGTGTGTGTGTGTGTTGCTCAGACTATACCGCTAAGCGTTACATGATGAGAGCGTATGCGTGTGTGTTTGCATGACACCCAGCATTAGCTGTGCTTTGGAGAAAGTGACGCTCGTAGAGAGCAGCCTTCATCTTGGATTACCATGCTCATGGATCCTGTGGGTTTTTGTGTTGGAAGTGATGGCAGAGTGGGATAATATTTACTACATCTGTCTGACAGCTGACCGACTGGTTTTAACTCATCCCTCTCATGGACTCATGGCGCTTTGTGATGAGCTTCCTCCCTGTATTGAAGTGCAGCCAAGCACATGCGCCTGCTTGCATGTGGACAACGGCTGGTACCGAGCCTTTCATCATAACAAGGCTGTGTAAGACCATCAGTTTCAGCGGATGATGTGGGTGAAATTTGGAACACACAGAAACAAAGGCCGCTGACCAGTGAGTGATGTGTTCACTCATTTAGGTGCTCAGCGTTCATGTTGATGTTTCAGCGAAGGC